TTTTTTTTTTTTTTTTTTTTTTTCTCTCTAATACAATTGTTCTAAGAAAAGAGCTTAAGGGACAAAGTTACCCTGTTCCTTTAACCCTCGGACGTAAATGGGTTGGGAGTGGTTACCAAGCGAGCGTCGGATCAAGGTTATAGAAAAGGGACGGAGAAAGGGGATGATATATGAAAGGGCTACCTTTTCTGTCGGAAACGCAGTAGCGGGTCTAGGGGAGCTTCCTCTTCCCCCACCCCCGGCTTATTTTGGTTACAAAAAGAAAAAATCACAGAACGAAGAAAAACCAGTAGGCCAAGCAAAACAAAACCGCACCCCTCCCCACCCCCCGTCTTCCCTTAGCTCAAGGTTTGGATCGCCACTGATAATAATGGAGTGCAAAAGGATAACGTCTACGCTGGCCCTTGTTGCAAATTCAAGGTTGTGATTAACAAAATAATTCAAAAAAGGAACCCCGGCTTTGCAAAACTGCTACCTCTATTGGTCAGAGGAACTATGTCACGACTTGCGCATCCTGGAAAGTTTGCCCTAAGTTTTTCAAGTCCGTCGTTTGTAATACGTGTTAATCGTCTCTATCCTTAACCATCCCTGTCCCTTTATAGTTTATTATTGTCTTTGGTGTTTTTCTGTCTCAGCTAACTGCTATTATTATGTCGCCTTCAATTTGAAAGTAATTTTGTACATAGCCACAATAACTCCTTGACTGAGTTTCTAAGGTGGCTGTAAACAGCTTCTAGCACTTTCCAAGACGTAGATTTTGATGGGTCATTCTTATCACTCTTAATCTGTTGATGCCACAATCATGGTACGGAAAACTGCCTTTACATAGCTAAAGACGTTACTATCATTTTTGTGACACCAAATGTTACCATACAAACAGTATGGCCTGCTAAAAACACCCTTTAATTTTAATTTCAAATCCTGCACGGTGAAACCTTTTTTTCATAAGTGAATTTTGAAAATCAGGATAAGACGCAGCTATTGGCAAAATTTAAAAGAAATCTGTAGGTGGGGTTCAGAGCCACCTTAAATTTTCCAAAATTTAATGTGGTTCTGTTATGTCACGAAAATGATAACAACGTGTTCACCATTGATTGGACAGCTTTTTGATACCATGATTGTACCATCAGCTAATAAAGAGTGATAAAAATGACCCTTCAGAAAGTGCTGGAAATTGTCTTAATTAAGTTAATTACCATTCCTAACCAGAAAAAATGAGACATAACTATCTGCAACCCTTTCACAATTATATGGACGGCTCTGAGGAGAACTAAGAGAGTTAGTGTAACGAACTGGCTGCTCTATTATATAAAAATGACTGTTATTTTCGTGACTAAATTTTTCAGACCGCCGTGTCAGCCAACCGCACCACCTACAAGTGCCGAGTATTCGAGATGCCTAAATTTAGTGAAGTACGCCACATCGTAAAGGTGTGTTTAATATAATACCAGGTGTAAGAAAATGCTTAGGTTAGCAACAAGCAAGTATTCGACAACGACGACCAAAGTTCAACCTAGAATATTGTTTTCTGCTCTGGAGTAACGATAGTATAATTTCCTTAAAAGTGGAACCGAACTTCATCAGCGGCAATTTTAACATGTAAATGTAAATGTTTATTAGAAACTGGAGTATAGGTAGAGGAACATGTTTCGAGGAATTCCTTAGCTACTCGTGAACATTGCCAGCTCACGTGGTATTCAATGAACTCCAGAAAAACAAAAGTTCTTGCGACCGAAAGAAACACGTTCAAACGTCGCACAAACGAGGTAATTGAGATCCCGGCCTACAAAAGTCTTCTTTGAACAGAGAGAACGGCTTCCAATTAGTCAAGATGTATGACATCATTCTAGTCCCCTAGAGACCCTAATGAACATTATATAACTCTTCTTAGCATTTACACTTTTCTGGATGATGAAATTCGGTTGATAAGAACAAAGTATTCTACTTTTAAACCAGCTTTTTTAGCTCTGAATAAAGGAAAATAGTTTATATTTTAATAAGGACCAAAGTTATTAGTGACCTGATATAGGAGATGTTTGGCGTGCTAAGTAATCTATTCTTGTTAAACAACACTTTTAAGTTAATGGTATACCATGCTAGTAGGCAACGTCTTTCCTGTATTCTGATTGGCTGTGTTTTCTATATAACGTGTTATCAATGATGTTATAAAGTTCATGGTAGGTATTTTATTTTAGTTACATGCTCACAACAATGAGTGACACACTCGATAAAGACTTTGGTAACCGAGCTTAAAATCCAAATGTGGCAAGAACAAAAAGTGGCACACGAGCCTTTAGACTTAAGCCCTTACCACATTGTGACGTCCTCTGTAATCTAGAACCGAATATACCGCATCAACATTGAATATACTTGTTTTAATTATATAATATTGAAACCTGAAAAGTAAAAGAGGTCATCTATGTTTCTGCCTCCCAATAAATCAAAAGTAAGAACCAAATAAAATGCCAAAATAATTCGACTAATATTTCTGCCTCCGTTTCCAAATCAGGTCGAGCCTGTTATCCAGGCAGGTCACGAGGGAATGGTTCATCACATGTTGTTGTACGAGTGTCGAGATGATTTCAAAAGAGAATACTTGAACTACTCTGGTGAATGTTACGGTCCTAACATGCCTCCGGCGATCGATGAGTGTGCTGGGTTTTCAACTATTGCAGCTTGGGCTATTGGTGGAAAAGTAAGCAGTCTAGCATACTATGGATATTGAAATGCACGAGCGATGCACTGCAAAATAGAAGGGACCATACTTTCCAACTGGTTTTATAAAGTCTAGTATCCGAGCGGTACACTGCACGAATGGTACACTGTAAAATAGAAGGGTCCATACTTTCCCTCTGGTGTTACAAAGTCTAGCGTAGGAGCGGCATACTGCACGAGTAGTACACTGTAAAATAGGAGGGTTCCTACACTTTCCCCCTGTGGTTACAAAGTCTAGTATACGAGCCGTACACTGCACGAGTTGTACACTGCAAAATAGGAGGGTCTATACTTTTCCCCTTACGAAGTCTAGTACACAAGCGGTACACTGCTCGAGTGGTACACTGTAAAATTGTAGGAGGATCCATACTTCCCCCTTGTGTTACAAACAGGGATTTAGCATACCGCCTGAATATTTAATCCGCCCGCTCGGTAGAGTGGGGGACGTCAGTTAGTGTAAATTGCACAATTCAAGGAGAATGACTGTGTTGAGAATTACCCGGCGGTACATCCAAACCGCTGGCCTTGAGATTATTTGCTGGTTCTCTTTCTTAAAGTAAAAACAAGCTGTTGATCTTGTTTTCAAGGAGTTTCATTACCCTGTGGATGCTGGTTTTCCAATCGGAAAAGCTGATAGCCCAAAGGTGCTTATACTGGAGATGCATTACGATAATCCTGAAAACAAACAAGGTAATCTATTAGAAAAATTGCATTGGATTCTTTAATAGCGTTCTGATGAAAATGAGATGTGTATTAATGTTGATTTTATGAAAACAGAGAGAGCCTTTTAAGATCTCTTTCAAATAGCCTTACCGCGATCAAATCTACTTGACGAAGCATAACACACAGTGCTTTTGTTGCTTAGGGATAACAGACAGTTCAGGCCTGAGGTTCTACCACACCAAACAATTAAGGAAGTATGATGCAGGGGTGCTGACGGTAGGAGCAATGGTCTTAGATTTCATGATAATTCCACCAAGACAGAAAAGTTGGGAAACCACGGGTGTCTGCTCAAAGGAATGCACACAAGAGGTAAAAATATTAAAAAAAAAATAAATTATAATATTTGAGAGGAAGCCACATCAGCTTTAGCTGGTTTTCAGCTGGGTCCTCTATCCTGGTGGAATTGAAATTTGGAGATGTTGGTCTTTGTGGAGGGAGGAAAATCGGAGAACCCAGATAAAAACCCTCTGAGCAAAGCAAGAACCAACAACAAACACAACCCACACATGACACTAGGCGGGAATCGAATCCGGACCAAATTGGTGGGAGGGGAGCGCTCTGCTATCCCTGCCCCTCTACCTGTTTAAACTGTGATCGATATTGATAATATTATCTCTGGAGGTGTGTAACCTTTACGTTACAGACTGCGAAGCGTGAGTCTGATTACAGACATAATAATATACACGCAAAAATTTCAGCAAGCTGATTGGCCTAGAGCACGTCAATTAATCCCAAATAGTGCAGAAAGTTGACATTGATAGCAAGAAGTTAAAGTGAGTGCAGAGAGTTGAAATTAAATTGCATTTACATCATTAACAAGCAATCAAGCGATTTTTCCCACGGAGTTTGGATCGATTAAGCACTCGTAAAGTTTTCAAAGACTACAAATTAAACTTGCTCTACTGGCTCGCTTTTTTGCTTTGTTTTGGTTCGGTCTTTGAAAATTTTACTTTTGCTTATTTATTCCAAGTTGCACTCGAAATCATTTGATTACCTGTACAAACAGACCTCTTCCAGTCGGTTATGACGCCAACAGTAAATACAAGGGCTATAAAACGCCATAACCAACTGGTTTCAGCTACAATTTTAATAACGTAAGGAAAAGTAAATTACAAGCTTCTCCCTTCCTTGGTCTGAATAGTCTTTTGTTTTTTTCAGTTTTTGTTTTGTTTTTTTTTAACTTAATGGCAAAAAATATCACTCAAAACAATGCTTTCTTAGACCTGCTTATCTTCTTCCGTTAGCTTCAAAATATTTGGATTGATATTATTTCTCTAAACTGAAGGGATTTAAAGACTCTACGCTTCCTACAGGAGGAATAAATGTCTTTGCTACCTTGTTGCACACTCATCTAGCAGGTAGATATCATATTGCAATAGAATAGTACTTTTGATAACTAATACTGTTAGTACTGTATGGCACTATTTTACCGAAAGTATAGTTGAGCTAATAATTAACAACAATTATATGTTACAAAGACTAAGCTCGAGGCATGTTAAAACACAAGCAATTGTGTCCATATAAGTATTTTCTTTTCAAACAGGATCCAAAAGTTGTTTTAATTACATTTAAAACGAAAATAATTTTTTTTTCGGGCTAAACTTTGTTGTGCTTTGCAACCTTCTCAGATTCCGTATCCTAGAGGGTCTTGTTGCCTACCTACCTACCTACCTACCTACCTACCTACCTACCTACCTACCTACCTACCTACCTACCTACTTACCTACCTGCCTACTTACCTACCTACCTGCTGGCTTGGCTGCCTGCCTACCTACCTTCTAAGGCCCGCGCGCCTACTTAACTACCAGCCGGCCTGCCTACCTACAGTGTACCTACTTACCTAACAACCTACTTACCTACCTGCCACACTGTACCTACCTAGCTGCCCACCCTGACTGTCTTTGTACTGATTCTACCTTCCTAACCTTCTAACCACACTTTTTTTGTTTCCCAAGGCCGCAGAACCTGGCTCCGTCACCTGAGAAACGGTAGAGAGCTGCCTGATATAGTCAGAGATGAGCATTACGATTTTAATTTTCAGGCGAGTATTTAACCATTTTCAGGTTTTCGTTTTTTTTTCCCCTCGGACGCACAAGCTAACTCATACCTCCACCGTCGTACAAGATGGGAGGGGTGGATGAAACCTCCCTCCCCTCCTTGTTTTTGTTCTGTTTAGGCAGAGCGAAATAAATTTACATTGATTAGATAGCCCTGAGCTTGCCCTACAAGATGGTACTATTTCTTTTGCTTATGACGTCAAATGACGTCATTGGACCCTCCATCTTGGATTTTTCTATTTTCTTAAAAGTCAAGAAATAACGGAAATTAACACAAAATCAAGCCACAATGCTTACAAAATGTACAAATTCACGAGTTTCCTCAATTTGACGAAGAAAACTGGAAAAACCCACAGAAATATCTCAAAAACGTGAATTTTGGCTAGACCCACATGAAATTTGATGGCTGCCATGGCAACGTCAAGTATGATGGACACGCAAATGACATATCAAAGTTTCCGCAGAGAATGAAGGAACAGCAACTGAAAGTTTCATCGTCTTCCAAAATTTTGAAAAAAAAAACTTATGGGGGTGGGAGTGGCATCTACCCCCCTTTGACGTCCGAGGGTTAAGAAAGACAACAGCGAATCTTCTGTTTTTTTGTAACTGATGTATAACAAAGCCATTCAAGAGACTAAATTCTCAAGAGAGAAATTAAAGTAAATTCTTCTTATTGCTTTTATTCTCAGGGAAATCTATCTCAAGTTATTTTTAGATGTGATCTTCAGTTCTCTCTCAGATAATAGTACCACGCGCGTTGCGTGAAACATGAAGATGCGCATAAAGCCAATTGGCTTTTCTAGATGAGTAAAGACTGTTTACAGCCTCTGTATTTACGCACACGAAAGAAAAAGCCAGCGAAGCGACTGCGAAGCGCGCGGGGGTGAGGGTGGGGTTTGCGAGCGATGAGTAAAATGTGAGTCACATGCAGGATTGGCCCTTTCGAGACCCTTCGGAGATTTCTGAGGCTAATAGTGATCTAAAAATGTTTTGACATAGGAAACCTTAGAAACAACTCCCTTTCTCTTCATCCTATCATTATCCTTTATAAATTCTATACTATCGATTTCTATACCTGGATTTAATCGCACTTGTACAAGTAATGCATTGGTAAATGTTCCTTTATTTTCGATTCTTGGAAATAGGAATATCAACTGCTGCAAAAGGAGGTCCACGTTGCTTCGGTGAGTGGTAGCATCTTCTATAACCTTAACTAGCTAGCTAAAAATATATTTGATGTTACAACCATGTATTTCGAAATTAGCTTATAAAAGTATCGAAATATAGAATAGACGTTCCAGTCCTCTTTAAAGCGGCGATGTCTCGATATTAATTGTCTTTTCTTTTTTTCTTCTGGTGTAGAACATAACTTCAAATATTATTTTTTATGTAAACCGCTGAGGGGAGTACAAATCGCAGCTAGGTTTTCAAGACATGACAACGTATTTGAAAGTCTGCTAGACGTTTTCAAGTTGGCATCACAACATCAGCATTGCTTGTGTAACATAATAGCACCCGGCCAATTTCTGGGTTTGGTGCACTCAGTTAGTAATTAACTTTTAAGAACGCTCGGCCAATATTTTTAGGTTTCCATCAACGTTTATATGTCTTTGGGGTTTCTACTTCGAAGTCGTGCCCTTGATAAAACTGATGACGAGCGACAAACTTAAGAATTCCATTAAATGCGGATGTGCGGTTCCTTCAGCTCCTGACCATCTTCACTGCTGTTTTGTGCAGACTATCTTATATATCTAATCATGATTGGGATATTTTTGTTGGCAGGGTGACTCCCTGGAAAACGTTTGTATTTATAGCACAGAGGATCGGAAGACAGCTACAAAGGTAAGTAAATAACAATCAAATAGAAAGTTCTGGATCTTCGGGTTATCGATACCGATCAAAGAGAATTCTATATCTTCAGTCAAAGAGAGCTTCTGGGAAAATGTCGGCCCTGCATGTAGGTCTTGACAATACATGTTATCAATGACTGGCTCGGAAATCAGTACTAAGAGATCGATGACTTCATGATTGAAGTCATGCAAGAAGAAGAATTCTAGAAACTTACTGTAACACGGTCTACATGTAAGTCTTCAAACATAATGGTCTGGCAATGGTGGATTTTTCTTTTCCCTCTAAACTGTCCTATATTGCACTCTTATCAGTTCACACTAGCAACAAAACATGCTTTGAGCCTGAAAATGGGAATGTTTCAATTTTAATAAAACAAGTTTCTCAAAAACAATTTTGTAGTTCAGTGCATTGTCCAAATTTGAAAGCCGTCCGTTTCGAAAAACAAATGGATAACTTTTAAAGCGGCTTTACAGATTTCGCAATTACATGGAATATTCACAGGTACTTTATACCCTTAAACAGTAAAATGGGGCGAGAACCTGCTGTTCTGTTTAATCTTCCTTGTCAATCTTAACGGGTTTGTTTGCCACCATGCTTTAACATTCATGCTTAACATTTTTGGGGACGTTACAAAGGTGCTTAGAATAAGCTTAAGAAAAAAAATGTCCAAACTCAAACCCAGACCTCTGCATCCTAAGCAAATAGTTGCGTCAATGCAGAGTGGTGTTGGATTTTGAGTGAAAATAAATGTCAATCGGCTCAGCTAAACCTAACTAGTTCTCAGGCATGCCTCCTAAAGTCGGGAAGAAACAAATGTTTCAAACGAACACAAGAGGCTAAAAACCCCAACTGGTGGTAGGGGGACCAATTGGTGATTTACAAACATGATCTAGGAGTTAAAACAAGGGTCAACGAGAAACAACTCTAGTTTAGTGGTCAGAGAGGTCGTTGAACCCGTGCCACCCATATTTCAAGTCCGGCGCACTGGCCATTCGGCCATGCTACTTCTAATAATTGTCTGATATCTTATTTCAGGCGGGACTTGGAACTACCCAGGAGATGTGCTTATCATATGTCATGTACTATCCTAAAGTCAACCTAACAAACTGTCGGTCCACTGACGCCACGGCGTTCTTTTCATGGCGTGGGAGATATATTAAGTAAGTCTTCCACGCTCGACCCTCGTGGTTGCAATTGATAGAGTGGAATCAGCTAGTCTTAAAGTCCAATTGACACTGTCTTCCTTTGCCTTAATCAACTACAATTTGATAAATTGCGGAGTATTTTACTGCTGAAGACGGAGGCTTGATTTCCACTGCGCTTTTCATTCTGTCCCTTCGGGAGAGGAAAGCGGACTCATTTCCCTAACAGCGGCTCGCCGGTAATCGAGCCTACCGTAGACGCAGTCCAACTGTCTCTTAGAAACGTAAAGGCAAGCCATTTTCCTATTGTCTATATACTTGTTAACCTGGTAATTTCACCATTAAGATAATTACGATCTTTTTCCTTGTACAGAGGAGGCGACGATATGTCGAAAGCCAGTTTTTGGACTGACCCAGTGAACACAGGGCTGAAAGAAGCATACCGAGATTCCAAAGAAGTAGTCGTCTTTTGTAATGGTATCGGAAATGCGCAATTGCCGGTAATTACGTTCTTTATCTCTAAATGTCAATATTGCTGCTTTCTGTATGTAGACTGAAGAACAGACTTCGCGATTTGATTTCTTTAGCAAGACTTTCCATACTTTGCCAAAGGAACCAAGGTAGTGTTTTTGTGGGATCGCTCTTTCCGAAACCAGAAGAAAAAAAAAAAAATAAATCGAGTGAAAATGAACTCTGAAAATGTCACGGTTGCATAACAACACCTTACAGAATAATGAACCATCAACGTTTTCTCCTGACGTTGGCTTTTCTTTCCTTCCTTTGAAATGATTTTTAGTGATTTTTTTGGTTAAAACTTTCCGTGTACCCCTAGGTTCGTTACGTCAGTTGAAAAAAAATATATATGCGATCTTCTTCTAAACGCACTTTACGGTTTAGTTTTCAAGCCGTGAACATACACACACACACACACATACATACACACACACATACATACACACACACACATACATACATACATACATACATACATACATACATACATACATACATACATACATACAT